CGGGGGCGCAGTCTCCAGGTTACTGGCAGGAGTAGAGCACACAGAACATCACTCCCTTTCTGCCGGTCACAAAATGTAGAGTGGCCAAGCTACAGACCGCGGTAGAGAAGCTTCTGTACCCTCTAACAGGAAGCAGTGACAGACTGTCAGACCATGGAGAGGCTACAGGAGCTCCTCTACTGCAGTCTGCGACTCAGCCATGCTACAAGGAGGAGGGAGGTGAGCTGGCAGGGGTAAGGAGACCATAAGGAGGAGTTGGACGGGGGAGAGGCAAAGAGAGGACTGGGGAAAAGAAAGAGACACACAGAGAGCTGTGAGAGGGAAGAGAGGCACACTGAGGTAAGGGGGTGAGGCAAGAGGCACAAAGAAGATGGGGGGAAAGGAGAGGCACACAGAGTTAAGAAGGGGAATAGACTCACAGAGAGCTAAGGGGGGAGGCGCACAGAGGGTTGAGGGGGGGAAAGACACCCAGAGATAAGGTGGTGGGGGAAGAGGCACACAGAGGGCTGAGGTGGGGAGAAGTACACATAGGTAAGGGAGTGCGGGAAAAAAACACACAGAGGATGAGGGGGGTGGAAAGGCACACAGAGGGCTGAGAGAGGTGGAGAGGCACACAGAGGTAATGGGGTGGGGGAAGAGGCACACAGAGAGCTGGCGGGTCAAAGAGACACATAAAGGGGCTGGGGAGGACAAATAGACACACAGAGGGGCTGGGAGAGACAAAGAGATATACAGAGGTCTAGGGATGATGACTATGAGACACACGGAGGGGCTAGGTAGCGATGAGAGAGATACACAAAGAGGCTGGAAGGAGAAAGAGACCAACAAAGTTGCTGGAGGGAAGAGATACACACAGAGGCTGGGGAAGGGGTAAAAGGGGGGGAGGGACACACAGAGCAGCTAAAGGAAGGGGAAAAAAAGACACGCAAAGCAGTTGAGGGAGAAAAAAGAGAGACACAAAGCTGGCAATTTGTGGTTTGTTTGTTTTTTTGAGGGGGGGGGGATGACTGTGGAAAATGGTTATGAACTAAATGTATATGCACAGTTCAGGGCTGATGCAAAATGCTAAATAGTCTTGCACCAGCCCTGAACTGTGCACATACTTTTATTGTCTGTGCAAGGCTTAAGCAGCACTTTTACCGCATTAGCAGTAAAGTGGCAATTGCCCCATTGTAGGCAGGAATCATAAGCATCTGCATAATTTCTTATAGGTTAAAGTTTCACTTGCTAATACCTTATAAATAACTAGGAATGAGATTAAGCTAACAAGGAACCTGCTACATGTAAGACAATGTGCACCTATATTCTGTGTGAATGTCCTTAAGGCTCATGGATCTCAAAAGCCTGCAATTGAAGTTAGTTAGATTACTTATCCTAGCTCTTAGCTACTGAAGTAGTTGGACTGAGAAAAAAATTGGCCAATCTCTTCATCTTTCTTGTCCAGTTTATAACCATATATTTTGAAATTTCCTATTTTACCTTCTTTGTGCCTCTTGCCTCACCCCCTTACCTCAGTGTGCCTCTCTTCCCTCTCACAGCTCTCCGTGTGTCTCTTTCTTTTCCCGAATCCTCTCTGTGCCTCTCCCCCGTCCAACTCCTCCTTATGGTCTCCTTAGTATGTTAATTCCTCCTGCCTCCACCCTATATATTCTCTGATTCATTCTCTACTCATTACTTCATTCCTCACATCAAAAAAGGAGAAGAAGAAGCATATTCTCCACATATCTATTTATTTATAAAATATTTTACCAGGAAGGATACATTGAGATTTATCTTGTTTTCAAGTATGTTCTGGGCCCACAAACACTGCCTTGTTACAGTAGGGTACAATATAATATTACAAAAAATAATACAATATATGTTTACATATACACATGTAAATTTAACACATAACTAGTAATAAATATAGTTAACCATGCCTGAGACATTCTGTATTGAGATATGTTGCCATAGATCCCTTAAAAGATTTTAGATTGAATGAAGATTTGACTGTGTCTCTGAGGTTATTCTATAATTGTGGTGCTCTGTAGGAAAATTAGGATTAAGCCACTTTATTTTTGTATAGCGGTATACTAAATAAAGTGCTGGTACTGGATCGGAGAGGAGAGCATTCTCCTCAGGTAGGGTGGGAGCTTCCTACAAAAACCAGGCTTAATCACCAGGCTGAAAAGATGAAGAGTTCGACGGGATTCCAGCGATAGCCTGTTTAGCTCTTTTAACATGTCACAGTGGTGGGTCAAGTAATTATATTCTGGTACAAAGCGGCAGAAAAAATTATACAATGTATTTAGTTTATGAAGGTGGGTTTGCGATACAGGTGCATACACTACATCTCCATAATCAATTACTGTCATTAGCATTTTGTGGAATATCTGTGTTCTTACTGTAAGGGCTTGTGCAGTATTTGTTTCTGCACAGGGCACCTATTTTTGGATACGGTTTTGAAGAGATTTTTTTCAACGTGAAGGCCTAAGGATAGTTTGGAGTCTTACAACATACCTAGATATTTGAAAGAACAGGCAGCGTGCGGTCAGTGTGCTATTTGAATTTGTCCTGATACATAGTTGGGGATTTTATAGTTTATTTAATTTAGGCACAGTTCCAAAGATCATTCTACCTCTGGAAACTGGTCTTGGAGCACAGCCTCAAGCTATGTTAGATTGGGTTTACTTGCGTAGATTACAGTGTTGTCTGCATACATGTGTACAGTGGACGCTTTGCAGGTCATTTATAAATAATGAGAATAGTTTGGGGCCAAGTATGGAGCCTTGAGGAACACCACATGTGACCAGGAAAAGGAGGGAATCACTATCAGTGATGGTAACATACTACGATTGATTTGATACAAATGATCGAAACCAGGTTAGCAGATGATCCCCAATACCAGGCAAAATCAAGTAGAATCAATGAAACTCTAAACTGGTACATTTGAATGAGGTCAGCTGTAACCCAGGGCATATGTGTCCCTTTTATTCAAACTTTATGTAGTGGGGCATGCAAAGTCCAAACTCGCAAGGGCTCGGACTGAAAAAATTAAATTGCTGAGTTTAGATCTGGGATTAGGTATAATCTGTGTCATGGTAGGTTCTTGAGATCGTTTAGAAAGGATTTGAGATTACATTTCTTGAAAGACCTGATGATTATAACCTTGGGAGAGGATTTATTGGCCTTTATTTTGCATATGCAGTAGACAAAACAGAGAAAAAAATCAGAGAAAAGGCAGTGCTTACATTGCTGCCTAGTAATACCTCTAGTTGCAGTCACTCAGACAGCCACTAGAGGTCATTCCTGGTTGCAGCGCTGACTTTCAGCGCCTCCACGCTTTGCATAGAGACTCTGAACTTTCACCATGCATGGATTGAGTCAATTAATCTCTATGAGGAGATGCTGACTGGCGCAGAGCAGCATTTTGCCATGCTTGTGCATTACTCTTCAGTTTTTTAAATCTCAGCCAAGGGAGTTGAGCATGGGTGGAGCCAGCTCAGGGGGCCTCACTGGAATAAAGGTAAGTTTTCTTTTGTTTAAAGAGGGAGCTGGATGGTGTTTTTAACACTACAGGGTCAGGAATACACATTTGTATTCTTGACCCTGTAGGGTTCCTTTAGCTCAGTTATATTCAAGTGTTTCCCCCCCTGGAAAAATGGAAAGAAATAAAAGGAAAGAAATATAAATTTCCCTTGAGATCCCCCCTCCTTACATTCCTTCTCCCAATTCCCCATTCCTCCTTTTCCCTTTTCCTTACACTCCCCTTATTCCCTTCCCTTTCTTTTCTCATTTTGTTGATCAACCAATACAGAAAAATGTTGCATTAATTCAAATATTAAACTTAGTGCATCAGACATCAAATTTGTGAAGGTCAATTATTATATTCGTATATTTTTTACAGTGTCTATGTGTTAACTCCAATGTGTGCAAGTGTTCCCTCCCCTAAAGAAAGCGTATCGAATTAACTATCTATCAGTTTACAATAATATAATGATAATCCAACTATTAAATTACATACATCATATCAAATTATGGTGAGGTTCTATTATTATGAGCTAGATGTAAAATCAATTGTATTCAAGTACTTCCTACCAACCACAAGAGGGTATATATTACAGCAAAAAAATATTTTTCTTTCCCTAATCCATTGGTATGCCCACAAACCTTAAATAGATTACATGTGGAATTCTTGCAAGGTTAAGACTGTCTCTTGTGGCTGTCAATCACATAGTCACTAGAAACACTTCCTGCTCCTAAGACAATTTTTGATCAAATAACTGACACTGGACATCCTTACGCTATGCAAGAGGATATCCAGGGTAATTAAAATCCCAATAGGAAAGCATTGCAGCAATGCTTTCCAATGGGGAGTGCCTAATGCGCTTGCAGCACATGTGTATTAGGCACCCATCGTCAGTTAACGTCAGAAGAGGCGGAGCACCAACCCAGCGCTGAGAGAGATCAGTGCTGGAATGGGGTGAGTACAGTAAGGATTTTTAAACCCTACTATGCGGGGAGGGGGTTCACGAGGGAGAGGAGGACAGAGTGAACTAAAGTGCTAGGAATACAACTTTGTATTCGTAGCACTATATATAGTATCCCTTTAAGCTTTATGATTGTCTTACCATACTTGAGCCTTCTGAATGACTGATTACTATACCAGATAATCGATTTAAATGGAAAGTCCCAATTATATCTAATTTGTCTGTCTCTTACAAGTCTCAAAAGTTAAGAGCTGATTTGCGCTTTGAAGAGCCATGTCTACAATTTTTTCTGAAAAGTGTGATGGCCCCCCATTGTTTTGATGTCTGGGGGAGGGCAACCCCTCCATGAATGGGAGATCAGTCTTTTCTTTTTGCTTTCTTGAAACTCTTTACCCAGATATGTGCAGCTGTTGTGGTTCTAAAGGGATGAGACGGGATATTAAAGGAACACTATACTCACCTAAATTACTTTAGCTAAATAAAGCAGTTTTAGTGTATAGATCATCCCCCTGCAATTTCACTGCTCAATTCACTGTCATTTAGGAGTTAAATCACTTTGTTTCTGTTTATGCAGCCCTAGCCACACCTCCCCTGGCTATGATTGACAGAGCCTGCATGAAAAAAAAAAACTGGTTTCACTTTCAAAAAGATGTAATTTACCTTAAATAATTGTATCTCAATCTCTAAATTGAACTTTAATCACATACAGGAGGCTCTTGCAGGGTCTAGCAAGCTATTAACATAGCAGGGGATAAGAAAATCTTAATTAAACAGAACTTGCAATAAAGAAAGCCTAAATAGGGCTCTCTTTACAGGAAGTGTTTATGGAAGGCTGTGCAAGTCACATGCAGGGAGGTGTGACTAGGGTTCATAAACAAGGGGATTTAACTCCTAAATGGCAGAGGATTGAGCAGTGAGGCTGCAGGGGCATGTTCCATACACCAAAACTGCTTCATTAAACCAAAGTTGTTCAGGTGACTATAGTGCCCCTTTAAACATATACATAACCTTTAGATATTAAGGTCTACTTTAGTCCTACTTAGTTAAGTTATATGAGGTCTACTTTAGTTCTTAGTTTAGTTATATGAACTTATTGTCACAGGCTTACTTACTAATGTGAGAATTCAAAGTGAATTTTAAATTTAAGGACAGAGTAGCTGAAAACTGACTTGGAGAATTTTTCGAGCTCAGCAATTCTGACCTAAAATTTGAAATTCACATGGAACTTACATTGAATTCTCAGTTTAATGAAATATTAATTTTGTGTCTGTTTGTGTGTATGTATGTATATATATATGTCTATCTGTGTGTGTCTGTGTATCTACGTGTCTGTGTGTTTATGTATGTATCTGTGTATCTATCTGTGTGTCTGTGGATCTATCTGTGCGTCTGTATGTGTACCTCTGTGTCATTTTTGTATCTGTGTTACGTTCTGTGCATCTGTGTGTCATTTTGTGTCTGTTTATCTGCATGTATGTTTGTGTGTATGCATATTTGCATGGGTGTCAGTGTATATATCTGTGTGTCTGTGTTTCTGTATGTGTGGTAGTGTGTGTTCGTGTATTTGCATCTTTGTCATTGTGTGAATCTGTTTGTCTGTGTATCTTTTACTAAACTTTAAACTTTAACAACAGTACATAAAAACACACAACACTACACACAAATTCACTCACACATACTACATACAATACATGTGCTTACAATCAAACACACAAACAACTGCTTAGTGTTAAATACAACCCCGGAAGGATGGGCAAATGGTCGATTCCCAGCTGGTAAAGAATTGTTGGAGTTATACGACAAAAGGGAATCTACCATTTGGCAATCCTTGCGGTAGGGGCGGCCCTAGAACATTCTTGCACTATTGCCCTGTCTTTACATAGTTACATAGTTACATAGCTACATAGCTAAAAAGAGACTTGTGTCCATCTAGTTCAGCCTTCCTCACATTTGTTTTTTTGCTGTTTGAATCACTTACAATTTTGCAACAAACTAGGAAAAAAAAATCCTTCTTGACCCCAGAATGCCAGTCAGATTTATCCTTGGAACCAGCAGTTATTACCCTACATTGAAAAATTATATCCTTGAATAGTCTGTTTTTTGCAAGTATGCATCTAGTAGCTGTTTGAACATCTGTATGGACTCTGATAAAACCACTTCTTCAGGCAGAGAATTCCACATCCTTATTGTTCTTACAGTAAAAAAATCTTTCCTTTGTCTTAGACTAAATCATCTTTCTTCCAGTCTAAACGCATGACCTCGTGTCCTATGTAACGTCTGGTTTGTGAATAGATTTCCACACAATGGTTTGTATTGGCCCCAAATATATTTGTATAATGTTATCATATCCCCTCTCAGGCGACGTTTTTCTAAACTAAATTTGCTAACTTTTTTTCATGGCTGATATGTTCCATTCCTTTTATTAATTTTGTAGCCCTCCTCTGCACTTTTTCTAGTGCTATAATATCCTTCTTTAGAACAGGTGCCCAAAATTGCACAGCATATTCAATAATATGTAATATCTTGCTCTGAAACATGACTTTCAATGCTTTTTTTCAAGATCATTTATAAACATGTTAAATTAAATGGTTGTTTTTTTGTAATGAGGTAATTTGATACTCTTTTTAGTTCTGTTTGCTATTATAATATCATAATTAAGTGTAGGTGCAGCAAATATTCAGAATGAATATTCTTACATATGCGCAAAAAAAACCAAAAAACAAAAAACTGTTTTGAATAATATGTCTACAAAGTCAAGGTATAATGTTTGTATCTGATCTTATTGTTTGTTTACCTAATATAAATACAAACCAGGATAAAAAGAAAAAGGGATGAGATTACATTAATCATTAACCATCAACACACATAAATAATGTGTAAAAAGATATACTGTTATCGGTATGCTATAACATGGGAAGAAAAGAAGAATTCTTATCTGCGAATTCAGTTTCCTAGTTGGTCTCATGATAACTCATCATCACCATTTTGTTGCACATTTGTTGTCTTAATAAAAATTGAATGTCAGTAAACTCAAATGATCCTACATGCAAACTATAGACCAGTACCAAAAGAGACAGAAAATGGCAAAAGTGCCAGGCTTAAAGGAACCCAAAGCACCATAACCACTACAGAGTGCTAGAAGTGCCCTGGAGCCCCCTTGTTAGGAATCAAACTGTTTTAGAACATGTTGAATTTTTACCTGTAATGGTTACGGTGCTTGGAGTGTTCGTTTAATGCACCTTGGCGGAGGTGGTTACAATTGTGGCTAAAGACAAGCCTAAGTTACAGGACAGTATAAAGTTTAGCCTTGTTGGTTCAAGGAGGACCAATATAAAAAAAAGACAACAAAATGCAGAAGTATGCATTAATGGTCCAACCTAGTACCAAAACAAATTGGGGTTTAAATAGGGAGACTATATTGCATCATTCCTAAATCTCGAGAACACCGATATGAAATAATCTCCCAAATGGTGCCAATGCCAGAGTGAATAAAGGTGTAGTATCATAGATTAGAGCTGACACAAGTACAGGTATTGGTGGCAGGAATGACGCAGGAGTGATTGTGGTATCCAGGATCTCTGATGAACATCACCCACTGTTAGAAATATCTTGAACATTGCATGAGTGATTGTGGACCCCCAAATCTCTGGCAGCTAATGGTACATGGGAATGGAGTTGTTTTATAATGTTTTGGCATTATTGAACTAGTTAAAGAGTGGAAAAGTCATATTTCTATGGCGGAAGCCAGATGAAAATAGGATTTTCAAACGAAAATGGATCTTCTCAGTTTGGCTAGAACATCAAGTTGGAAATCAGTGGGAGTGATCACAATAAGTTAATTATCATTATACTGTTAAATGGTTTATAATAATTGCTTAAACCCTTCCTACACCCATGGATTTGACCTAAATTGACATCATGTTGGGAGGTACCATAAAAGTTCTACACAGGACATGAAACATAATTTTTTTAAATTTTTGTCAGGTTAAGTTTTACACAATTAGGTGTTTGATCTAATCTAATCTACAATATAAATTGAATAAAGTCTAATCCATATTAAGGACATTTTGGAATTGTAATAAAACTATCTAAAAGAGTTAGATACTATTATATTTAAATATATATTTGAATTGTTTCATATATGTGGGAAAGGAATGTTTCAATGGTTTCCTTTTGTTACTGTATTAATTACTTTGAAACTAATGCATGTGTAAGATCCTATACCTTGAGCTCCTGATGAAAGCAAGTCAAACTCTGCTCTCATAGTAGTGCCTGTGTTTTCTGATTCCCTGGCATCTTGTTCCATACTGCCCTCTGCTGGACTGACTACTATTGGAGCAAATCCAGTCCTTGTCAAATTACTGCCACACACACTTGCATCTTACTATGCTGTCAAATTCACACAGAATTAATATCTAATTGGTTGTATTAAATTAACACTAGAGTGTTAGTAGTACAAACCTGTATTTTTAACAGTATAGTGCCCCTGTTATTAGTTAAATACAGGTCTTCTCACTCGTTTGCCATACAAATAATAATCAAAAAAGTTTTTTACTTAACGTTTTCCACTGTCAAGACTGCATTGGAGCTGCTCACCTCTCCTCCTCCTGCAACGGGATTAAATAAGCATGGCCTCCTCCGAGGTCCAATTTTGTCCTCCTCATAGTGTGCAATGTATTGTACACCAGTCTGTAGCTGGTGCATGTCAGAAAATGTACATAAGGTATCCCCCATGTGTGTGTATGTATATATATATATATATATATATATATATAATCTCACTGAACTGGCACCCACAATTGGGTAATGTGCCAGAAATTTCTAGTTATGCAGAATATTGCTATACAAGGCAGGATCAGCTGGAAAACCGTTACCGTTCTCAGGAAGTTGACATTACAGCTACACATTCTGTCAGCAGCCTTTATTCAAACAGGTATCATTTATACTTTTACCGCTGTTCTCACTACTACATCCTTGCTCTGCCAAGTATACTTAGACGTTTTTATTCCTTATTTTTTTCTTTGGTTATGGTAATGGATCACTTGCGGTTTACATTACATGGTTGCCATCACTTTGGCAACATGCTGGAACCCACACTATTGAGCAGAGAGCGGTGCACAGGAGGAACGAACTTGTGGCCTCGTGACAATTTTTTTCATGCACAGCAAACACCTGGGGTTGAGTACTTCTCTTTTCTTGCAAATGTCTTTATATATCTTTTCATCTTGACCTACAATGGCACATTGGGAGTACCATCAGGACCAGGGCCGAGTTAACATGAGGCTAATGGAGCTGTACCTCCAGGCCCATGTTTATGGAATTTGTTCATTGATCCTAAAAATAAATACATTTTCATCACTCCTCACATACTCTTGCCCTGTGATATTGTAAGCTGGAACTAGGTATGGAAACCTAGGAGGGATGCAGGGGAACAAATCTGATGGGGACTGGCTAGATAAAATAGCTAATGCAAGCAAAGTTGACTTTGCACATTCTGTTCTCGCTGCATCTATCCCTCTAACAGCCCAAGATTCTCCTGTTATCTTTTAATAGTGTTGTATGTCAATTTTTTTACTGCACTCACTACCTCTACCTCATTCTCTGCCCAAGGAGAAATACTAGGATCAAGCTTCAAGCTAGTAAGAAGGGAAGGAGAGACATGGAAAAATGAGTCCTAAACAGAGAGGTTTCTGATTAGTGGGAGAGAGGATATAAGAATTCTTGGGTTTGTAAGATGGAGAGACAGATTGGATTAATAGATGGATGAGAAAGATTGACATATGGTATGTTTATTCTTAAAAATGCATCGTGCTGTCATATTATATGATTGTACAATGCATATCTACCCATTTACTCTTGTACATCTGCTTGTACCAAAATAAAGAGTTAAAAATAAATAAAAAACCTCATGAAAGTGTCCATCCAGCACCACCTTGACCAGATACATTACACTCAGTAATTTATATCACTATTACCTCATACTAGTCATAACCTATCACCTTCTATCTATTACCTCATAATCATCAGCAACATCCCCAATAGGCTCTTAATGCAGCCCCGATTCTGACAGTCTGTTATAAAATGGAATATCTACTTGCTT